CGCTGTATATCATCAAATATAAATATTAATCCTAAAAGCGTAATTAGCTAATCAACAGTTATCAGTGTCTGCTTCCTTTGCAATGTATAATTTTTATTGTATATTATTTCAATTCGAGAAAAAGAAATAAACCTATATCTAAATGATATTCTTTCAGGGTTTTTTTTTTTCAGAGTAACATAATTATTTAAACATTGTTGATAGTCGGATCATTTAATTATTCTATTAAGCACATTTATTATATACATTACATCTAACATCTGCACTTTATATAAAATTTATTATATATAGAAATTATAAATATATTTATATGTATATATATATATATATATAATATATATGACTACACAAGAATGAAATATCAGAGACTACAAGGAAATATTACTGCTTTATTATAATTATTCTTAAAGGCAGGAGATAATTATATTGTTGTGCCTTTTATGCAACACTAGATCTTAACTATTATCCAGTTGCAAAACACTTATAAGAAAACAACTGTTTAAATAAAATATTAGTATATGTTTATAGTTACGATATACTACAGTCCCATATATCAGTTACATACTGCTAAGAGTTACCATGGTACTGGACCTTTTTAAATGCGAAATGTCGTTACTTAGGCAGCATTCTGATGCTAATTGCCCTTTAAGATGGTACGCATGCGATACCCCACGCGGGGCACGGCCGTTAGATGCTTGATAAATTTGAGGGTCACATAGACCATACGCCACAGCCAAATGTACTGTTAGTTCAAGTAATAATAGACTACCATTACTGCAGTACATAGGTAGATCGGGAAAGGCAAATTAAGGCTTATCTCGCTGATTTGTATTCATCTTAATAGTGACGGCAATGGATATAGTTGAAAATCAAGTGAGCATGTTGTTCTCTAGATTTCAAATTGTTACCACTACACCTTGACTACCGGATTGGTCTAATGGGTAGTGAGGTTGTGCCAGAGGGTGTGGGTTTGATCCCAGCTATTGTAAATAATTATGTTATCTATCAGTCTCTGAGTGTTTATTTATTTATAACTAGCGACCCTCCCCGGCTTCGCACGGGTGCAATGTATTATACATATGAACCTTCCTCTTGAATCACTCTATCTAGTAAAAAACACAGCATCAAGATCCGTTGTGTAGTTTTAAAGATCTAAGCATACTAAGCACATGGGACAGACAGACAGCGGAACAACTTTGTTTTGTACTATGTAGTGATGCACAGCAAAGAGACGTTTACATTTCAAGTGACATTTTATACAGTCACTCACTTGTTTTGCCTTCCCCGAAACCCCTCCACTAACACTTAAACTTTATGGTATGGTATTAAAGTTCAAATTGACTTTTAAGTATTTTTACGAATCTTTTGTACGGGAATATAGAAGTGTTGTTTTTAGACATTTTCAAGCAATTTTTCTTTCATAAAAACCTTCTCCTGATACTAAAAAACACAACAAAAAACACACAAAAAGTGGTAAATCAGTCCAGCCGTTCACGTGTGATGGCGTGACCAAGAGAAACAGGGATTCATTTTTATACAGCGTGTCGTTACCATCGGGACAATAAATGAACACACGTCTAACGCTACTTGCCAATAATCATAAAAAAATATTAACGTTAAACAAAATCCATAATAAAAAAAAATATATTTTTCAAACAAACTAATTAAGTAAAAGAGAAACAAAATTTGACAGATCCTATATAACTCGCGCCACAGCGTCGCATTACAAGCCTCTCCTTCTAACAGTATGTTTTGTCTCTTTTAAATTCATTCAACCCATTCATATGCTTTGTGACCTTTACAAATGAATTTTACGTTACGCTTTTATAGGTAAGGGTGTTCTAAAATTCTTTGTTTTGGAAAATTTAATAACTCTGTAAATATTGACGTTTAAAGAATTTAAATGTTTAATACAACTTTAAAAAGTTATCCCCTATATGTGTGTTCATTTATTGTCGCGATGGTAACGACACGCTGTATATAGAGATATATATTTATTTACAATAAAAAAAGTATATAGTTAACTAGTAACCATAGTAAAGGCGTAGCTTAGTTTGGGACTATAAATTTGTGTCTTGAAAAATTTATTTATTTAAGCCCGAGGGATTGCCAAACCTTAAAAAGTAGGGTAGTAAATAACTCACCACCATACCTCCACTTCAAGCCGGTCTCCTGTGAGGTCCTGGAACTTCCTAAGACGGGCGTGCCTGTTTGTGCAGCAGGATCAGTTGCATGGCCCTAACTTATCGACAGTGTCCTACGGATATTTGAAGGCATTGATGGGCTGTCGTGTAGGTTCGAACCCGTGCACCGATATTGCGTATTGCCTTCCATTCTTTAATTTTCCGATTTTCGGATTCCTTAGATAATCGCTGTCTGGCCTTGTGTAGGCAAGCGCGCAAAATATAGGACGTTATCCTTACTCCCTTACTAATATTATAAACGCGAAAGTTTGTATGTATGGATGGATGTTTGTTACTCTTTCACGCAAATACTACTGAATGGATTTTAATGAAACTTTACAGTAATATAGCTTATACATCAGAATAAGACATAGGCTATAATTTATATAGGTACATATTTTATGTATATCTGTGTTTCTGTCTTAATGTTACACCTTCATCTTATTCTACGCAGACGTAGTCGGGGGCAGCAGCTAGTATTATAAACGCGAAAGTTTGTATGAATGGATGGATGTTTGTTACTCTTTCACGCAAAAAATTACTGAATAGATTTTAATGACGCTACAATAATATAGCTTATACGTCAGATTAACACCTAAGCTATAATTAATAAAGATATTGTGTGAATTGTTCAAAATATAGGTTATATGATAAGTGTCAGCTAAGTAGGAAAAAATTCAGGCATCTAGTGAAAATTAATTTAGCCGCGCGGGAGAAGCCGTGGTTAACAGCTAGTACAGTCATAAGGAGCGTCATCGCAAAAGCTTTGCGCGAATAAATAAACAGTTCGTACACGTCTTTATTTAGCGTGTATGACCTAATATTTTCGTAACGAGTGGTTAAGTTTTTTTAATCCCATAACCTAGAATTATTTCATAATCTCATTAACCAAATTCGGATTACTTCGGCTTCCCTGCTGTGCGTTGGTGAACTTACTTTTCTAATTGCGAATTTGTGTGTTGAATTGGAGTCATTTGCGCGAATTAAAACCGGCCAAGTGCGAGTCGGACTCGCGCACGATGGGTTCTGTACCATTATCTATAAAAACTGCATAAAAACCATGTCTGTTGTATTGGAGCCCCAGTTGAGTATTTCTTTAAATGTTCCGCGATCAATTTTCAATTCAAATCCCGGACCGCGTCTGTTCGACCGTATTCGTGAACAACTGAACGATAAAGACCTTTAAGAACTATTTAATTAAAAGTAATTAATTTTATCAGTCTTCGTGTCAATAGAGAAAAAAAATTGTCTTGTGGAGTTTACGTTAAAGCAACGGTGCTTTAGTGTTTGTTTCTCGTGTTATATCTTCGGAGCGAACAATTCTTCAACGATTCTTGGTTAGCCTCGCTGTGATCTCGTAGGGATAGTACAAAGTCCTCGCGGTATACGAATTACGTAATGTATTTATACTTTTGCACGTCGTTTAATGAATGAGGTAACCAACTCTTGATAGTTGGTGTATTAATTTTACTTCTAATCTGCATTCAAGATGATATTTTAATGTTTCTTCTTTCATCATTTTTTTTGTTAATTTTTTTTTAGTGCGTCTCTGTACATACATATATGAATTGAAAAATGTGTTGGTAAAACTGTCGCAATTTTTTTTCCGCTGCCCAATCGAACCAACGCCCTCCGGATTAGGCATCTCGACGCACTCGCCACTGAGCTCAGCGCGCGAAAATCTCGACGTCTTATATACGTGCGTTTTTACTGCATTTTTAAGAACGCTTAGCATCATACTTTATAGCAGGCACACTTTCTCACATAACATTTTATAATTTACGTTTGAAAACTAGAGATGCCTTTGCTATTGTAATTTTATAAAGCAATGATAAATTACGCGAATGATCATCGTCCCAAATCGTGGCGTTTCAACTGATGTTATGTGATATGCGCCGCCCACGGACGTTTGAAACATCCGTTTGGTTGCAGATGCGTTGCCGCCTTTTAATAAAGTGGATCTCGGTTACCCCACTCACAAGACGAAACGCAGGAGTATAACACTCACTTCACGACGGTCTTCTACGAGGTCGCGATACTTCCCCGGGCGGACCAGCCCATTCGTGCCGTTAAAATGACTCGCTGATATATCAAAGCCCAACCTAAACTACTGGACTGAGACTTGAAACTTCACAGATATTTCTGTTGTCACGTAGGCGAGTTCTAAAAAGGATTTTACTAAATGCATCCCCTCGTATTAAGTAGGGGATGAAACTTTATATTGAGAAATAAGAAGACTGCTCCGTGACCCTAGCGCGATTAATCTGATGATGACTCCGTGACGCAGTTGCCAACGTATTGCTTTTGAGTCGCGGGTTCGATTCCCATACGTGACAACCATTTGTGCGACCCACAGATAGTTATTTCGCATCTGAATGTTGGTCCACGTGAAATTTATTTTTGTAAAACCGTCCTTACAACAATAGCTGTGGTAGGACCACGCAACAGTGTTCGCCGTTGCACGAATGGGAGGGTTCGTCCGGTTAAGTACCACGACCTCACAGGAGACCGGAGTAAAGTGGAAGTGTTAAGTGTACTTCTGCGTTTCGTTTGGTGAGTGCGGTGACCGTGTCTCACATTTTTATAAGGTGGCAACACATTTGCGGCCCGTGTTGCAAATGTCCGTGGGCGGCGGTTATCACTTAACATCAGGTGAACCGCCAGCTCTCTTGCCATCTCACAATTTTATCCTAAAGTAAGGGCAATGTCTTTTTAAAAAAAAAAAAAACTCGTCAACGGAAATTCCTTAACTCGGCCGTCTTCACCTCAACACCTCGCACCCTGGAGCTGTTTGTGGAGTCGCTCCTCAGCAAGGCGATGCAGGTGACCGTCGCGAGGAACGCGAAGACCCTCAGCCCCTCGCACGTGAAGCAGTGCATCCTGGCGGAGACGCGGTTCGACTTCTTGAGGGATCTGGTGAGTGATATGATAATTATATGGGATTGTTCGGTGCAACTAATCAGAGCTTTCAGAAAAAAGTAAAAATTAAAGTATCAAGCTATACATGTCGCACTGCTGGGCACAGGGCTCCTCTATACAGAGGGTATCAGGGCATAGTCCACCACACGGCCCCACTGCGGATTGGCGGCATTCTTCTACACATATCTTCGAAATATTTTTTTATTATTATTATTTTTTCGAAAATATGCAGGTTTCCTCACGATGTTTTCCTTCACCGCTGAGCACGAGATAATTCAACACTTAAAATTAACAATTTCATTGGTGCTGGCACACGGGATCGAAGTCAGATTGCTCGAGTATATTGAATTAAAGGCGAGCGCCCGGACTATTGAGCTATCACGGCTCAAGCTTTCAGAGTGCAAAAATTCCTTTTGTTTTCATTTGAAAAAATGGCAAACGAGCTGACGGTTCACCCGATGCTTAGTAATAACCGCCTTCCATGGACATTTGCAACATCCGTAGTGTTGCAGATGCGTTGCCACCTTTAAATAAAGTAGGCCCCACTCACTCACCAGACGAAACGCAGAAGTGTAACACTTCTACTTTACGCCGGTCTTCTGTGAGGTCGTGGTATTTACCCAGACGGACCTGTCATTCGTGTAACAGTGAAAACTGTTGCGTGACCCTACCACAGTCCGAGGTTTTTAAGTGGTGCAGAATGCTTAGACAGTTATTATTATTACTATTAAGCCTTTATGCATAAAAAGTACAAATGCCGACTTAAGGCGCTGTATGCAGTGAATTTTTAACTATTTGGGTGGTGAAGTATGAGGAAGCGGAGGAGGGGTAACGGCGGCGCGCAGCGCGCGAGATTCGTCGACGCGCCACTAGTTCAAGTCATTCTTTACCTAGTGTGTGTGTGTAGTGATGGGCCGTAGGATACTATCGATAGTATCATGGCTTTCGAAAATGTACACAGTTGATCCCTATAATACCTTTTATAGACCATGATTGTATTTTACTTTTATATTATAATAGGAATAATAATAAACAAGCAAATATAAAGTATGAGAAAGGAATCAAAAATTAAAAAAAATCTTCCTATTTATTATTTTTTTAATCAAATGGAAAAGGAATTGATTAAAAATACATCGTAAAGTCAAATAAATTAATAAAGGCAAATTACTTATAATTATTATTTTTTGATGGTTTATATTGTGATTTTAAAGAAACGACTCATAATTTTTGCAGAAATTACGAATACAATTTTTTTATTACATTTGTTTTATATATTAGGAATTTTAATTTATCCTTTAAATGTTCAAGACTTAATATGTTATATTACTTTCTCAACTAAAATGAAATTTAAAAAACTATCGATAAGATTTAATATCTATAAGATCCTTATTTGTATCGACAAACGACAGCAATTATAACTAGAATCGAAATTTTGTCACTTTCCCCAGAAGTCGCGTAGCCTGTTGGTCCGAGCGTCATACACAACGGTAAACTATTACTGTAGTACCAAGTTCAAACCCTGATCGAGTGGAGTTGTATTTTTTATATTATTTTCACCTTTAATTTGTTAGCCAACTAATTATTTAGTTTTTATTTTATAAAATGGCTCAATTTGGGAAATAAACAAATTAATAAAAAAATTATAAAACAATTATTTTTAGAGTATAAGGTAAATTTTCGTTTTAGGGTGAAAAATTAAATATTTTAATAAAAAAATAGATGACGTTAAAAAATTTTAATACTAAAATTTGGTTTATTTACTGATAGATTGTTTTCCAACTGTTTCAACTTTGAACAAATACAATAATATTTCTTTGTAATTATTTATGAAAATAAAAAAATCAACAAAAATTAAATGGTAATTAAAAAATACTTCCAAATAAGAAAATCAAAAATAAGAACAACAAAAAATTTAGGTATTTGAACCCAATACATAAAGAATGATGGTCCTATACGCTGTATGTATAGGACTGATAGACCAATCAATCACGAAATAAGACATTCAAATTACCCTTTAAATAAATTATTAACAACTGTAATGTTACATACAAATAATTTATAACTACAAAATATGTAAATATATATTTTTTAGTTTTGTGTTTTCGAAGGTCTAATAAAATTAAAACTCTCAATAATAAATAAATACGAAACATATTTCGTAACGGTGCGCGGTCGATGAGCGGCATAGATCCATCTAGCAAGGCGCCTCAGCGCTCTCTGTTCAACGTGTGGAATTGGAAGAGAGCCGAAACAATGCCGCGGTGGCACGGTGTTTTGGCCATCGCGTTCGAATTAATATTAATGAATTTAATTAATATTTACAAATATCTTACTTCAATCAAAAAATTAAGACAACAGTCCCTTTTATTCATATATTCTACACCACTGATATTAATTTAATTAAGATTTGTTGATGTATTACGTTCAATTTTGGATTTGAATTTCTCTTTTAGAGGTAGTTTCATGATTTTTTTCTATCGAGAAAATATATCGAGAATATGTTTTGGAAACAATGTTCCATTAGAATGTACGATCAAGATTAACATATATTTTTTTTGCTGCTATAAAATGTGTAGATTTTGCTAAAAAATCTTTTGAAAAACCTATTTTTACTGCATACAGCGCCTTAATGCCACAGGCATTATCTCCCAATCAGAGAAGAAGAGAATATTATCCATAAAAGTAATAAATACATATGGAAACAAATATTTATATATCTTGATATTCAACGATGGGTAGTTATTTATATACAGTTGTGTACCATTTAAAAAAACACCACTATTCCGCCGTTACCTTGTTTATTTATACATTCCGGTCCTCTTTAAAAGTAATTTTGAAATAAACAATCGAAATAGTAATGTAATAGTAATGTGGTACCATAATGTATAGCAGAAACTGTTATTGTATGGCCATTAGGATTTATAATAAAGTACAAAACGTTCAAACTCATTTTATGACGTAAAATATTAAGATTGTTCTCTGTACGAATGTAGCGTTATTAGAGTATTCGATATTCATGTTCCATAACAGTCGTTTGTCAAGATGATGTGAATGCATGCTACTAAAAACGTCATCTCCCAATTTCAGGTGAAGAACATACCAGATGTGTCTGCAGCCGAGGAGAAAGAACTCATGAGCGCGGAGAGTTCGCCAAATTCCTCCAGGTGATAAAAGATATTTCTCTAGCGATGGATTGCGTCATCAACCTGCCCACGTGTAATTTAGCACGTTAACCGATCGGAATATCACGACAACAAAAACGGCATGTCGCTAAACATATCTTTTTTATTTCAAAATTGCGAACCAACTGCGCTCAAGGACACTCAAAACACCAGAAATGACGTAAGCTCACTCCCTATCCAGAACAAAGAAACGCATTACAATCTTCCTGCCCTTATCCCACCTAGGTAGGGTCGACACAACACGTGAATCACGTTACCGGCCGTACGGCCAACGTACGAGTAAACCTTCCTTGGGAACAAACCAGATCCGGAACAATCATCTGTGGGTCACGCAAGTGCTTGTCCCGTGTGGGAATTGAACCCGCGACCACCGGCGCCGATACTATTTGCTTAGCAATTGCGTCACCGAGTATTCAGCGAGAATTTTCGTGTTTTAATCATTGACTTCTTGTTAAAATCTGTCCCGACGTCCGATTATAAAAGTCAATGAGCCGGTCAGTTTCATTTATTTATTTCAGATGGACCAAAACGTTTATTTTATATTATTCTAAAGTTGTTTAAAAGAATAACTGCTACCTAATTGAAATACGCAGTCTATCCGATAGTATAGAATACCGAAATAGTCCGATGTGTTGCCGGCTTTAAAAATGTTCTACATTGTCAACGGATGAAACACAAAGCACAGACACTAGACATGCAAAACTAAGTTTAGTCCGATGTGCTGCCACCTTATAAAACTGCAGTGTCACCAGACGAAACGCAGAGTAGGTATACACACAAAAATAGACTTGAAACACTAAGTTCAACCCGATGTGTTGCCAACCTTATTTGGTTCTGCAGTGGCTCCAGACATGTCTTACGAAGCGGGGCACTTCCCTGGTACGGGGCAGAATTTTTTATCGCTCGCAACCCTCTCCAATTATTAGACCGCTTACGCCTCTTTGCTACTACAACGCCTCGACAGTTCCATTTCGGCGTCGAGCCTACGCTCTTAACACCACCACGAGACTGGTCTTTCGGCGTCGAACCATTTGCGTGACGTCACCCCGTCAGGTTCCCGGACGCGGCCCCGCCCCGCCGCATAGCGAGGCAGGACTCCAACAGCTCGAGCGGCTCCGACGCGAAGCTGCAGCAGCCTGTCCCCCCGCGGGAGGGGGCCAAGCGGGCGTCCGCGGAGGCGTCGCCCCCGCCCCCGACCCTGCCCCCGCCGCCCCCTCCCCCGCCGGCGCCCGAGTCCGCGATCGACCTCTCGCGCAGGCAGGAGGCGAGGCCCGTACGGACGGCCAACTTCTACCAGGAGACCCTGGTGGACGAGCACCCGAGCGTGATCACGGTCAACCCGACCTACCTCAGCCCGCAGCCCTCCACGTCCAGCTACGCCACCCTCGAGCCGGTGGAAGTGAGCAGGGCGGACAGGCCCCCGCCCCACGCGGAGGCCCCCAAGACCCCGGTGGCCCCCGTCCTGAACATAGACTTCACGAAGAGCCTCGCCAAGCCCGAGATAAAGGTGCTGGACACGGCCGCCGCCGGCGTCGTGGCCAAGGGCGAGAGGAACTCGAGGCTGCCGCGCCAGAACTCCAGGTCGAAGCACGACAGGAAGGTGGAGCGGAAAGTCAGCCGACCGGCCGACCTGGACCACTTCACCGGCAACCTGCAGATAGACGAAGACTACGATACCTGAATAAATAAGTTGTTTGTTTGTTTTTTATTTTATACATTTTCAGATGTCCTATGTTTTAGCGGGCATGACGTTTGTTATCCAAATGCGCTTCCCTTTGCACGGGACGCGCGTGTTGTGGCGTCGGTGATTTTTTTTTTAATTGTTCAGTGCGTAGAATTGTTTTTTTTTCTTAGACTTAGTTACGAATGAAGGTGCCGCTTGTTCAACAGTAAAATATTTTAACCGGTGAACTCTCACCATACGAGCAACGAAATAATATTTAATTCAATGACTGTGGCACTTGAGTTTTAAATGGCAAAAGGCCAAAAACACGGTATCGAATACAAATCATCCTGAGATATAGTCTGAACCTTTTAAGAGCGTTGTTCTACAAATTAGAATATTATTTACGATGTAATGTTATCAAACATTTAATAATGGGAGCCATACGCGATCGTTTTAATAGTAAGTTTTGACATTATTAATTTTAGTTACCGACCTCCTACCAGTAAGAATTTGAGCATAAGCAAGTGTTTGTTTTTTTAAATATGATTTATTAATTTGGATAACATATTTCATGAACAAGCTGTGTTGTTTACCATTTTAGGTATGTTATGATAATTTGTTTTTTTTTTTTGGTATGACGAAGTCTAATTAATTAGCGCGTTGCATGATTGACCTTTGACGCATTCGTATGAATGAGATTTTTATATCGATGCTTCTTAAATGAAATTGTCAACGAGATTTTTGTGTTAACAATGGTCAGTGGTTGCGAAAAGTATTAAATCGTAATTACTTTATACAATGTTATTGGCTGTTCGTTTGTAAAGCGTCATAGACTGAAATGTATTTGACGTTAAGTTTTTTGGCGCCAAAAGTGTTTTTTTTTTAAATATAAGCTTCCAATAATCCATTGACATACAATTGGATGTCAATGGATTATTAATATAATGTATATTAAATCGAGGAATGTACTGCTGGATTCAACATATTTATTCTCATAAATGTATAAATTACAATCTTTATTTCAATGTTTCTCACACGCACACCAACACAACCCGATTTTCGAATAGCTCCTTCCGTCCGTATACGTCATGGCCATTTTGTTGAAATAATTTCGTATTAATTCACGATTTTTTATTTTGTTAACTTATACCAAAAGGCAAATTTTTGTAATTTGTATTAAAGTGAAAGGTTAATTTGTAGAAGATGAATATTGGAGATTGCATCTTACATTGGTGTGAGGCTTGTGAAATTAAAACAAATTTAATGATATACCAATAACATGGCTATACGCATAATATGTTACAATACAGATATACGTGAACTCGTATTTAGTTAGCAATAAGAGTTTATTTCATGTAAAAGTTTCATGTAAAATTTGGCGAAATGCCGACATTTAATGATTTCTAAACTTAAACATTATGACTATGATAATCGTATATTAATCTGCAGTATAATTGTAAATATTTCAAACGTGTGTCATAGTGGATTGTAGTTTGGGATGGGACTCTCGTAAATGCGAGCCTGCGATGTCGTAAGGCTCTCGTACTTTGTCAATTACGTTAAAATTATTCGATAGATGTAATTCATCTATTTATCATTTAGGTGAAACGCATATTTATTTTTGTAACAGTGATTTAGGACTCTGTAAAGAATATTTTTAAAAACACCTGTCCTTGTTTTAAGCCGATTGTATCATGTCTGTTTTTTATAACTTATGTGCGTGTTATTGCAAATGTTGAAGTAACGAGGCTTTTAGTGACGTCATACTTTTGTTTTTAAGAACCATGCAGACTATATCGTCGTGTTACATGCAATACAGCCGATTGTTAGTTAAAACAATTTACAGGAACAAAACTTTTTATTACTCATTTCTTGAATTTGTTCCAAGTCACTAACGTAGAATTTTTGACTAGATTCTGATACGAAAAAACCCTTTTTTATTGCTTAGATAAAAGCCACAAACGAAATTCGATCTACTGTACGTATGTACCGTGACGATAAGTTAATAGTAGACCTTTCCACATCTTGTAGCGCGAAGATCACTGATCTTTGATCCATCTTATATGTCATTATATGTCATACCTCTATAGTTTGTCGATATGTGTAGCTGTCGTTGGTATATTGCGGTTAATAATAACGTTTTCTAGTCGCATATGCGCGTTATTGTACTGAATTTTGTATATTGTATCCTTATTTGAATTTCGCATCGTAAGGCGTGCTACAGACTTGCGCGGAGCGGCATTTATGTCATTATTTCAATACATTACTCACACATTTCGAGTGGGTCGATCTTTGAACCTGCTACCGACGACGCTACCTATAGTGTCATATTATGCAATTGCTTGAGCCGCGTTGTTTACCAAATACTGCGGGATCGATGCGCGCAAGTGTGTACCGCGCCTAACTTTTGTGATGCCTCCTCGAAACCAATAGATGTAGGGAGTTGTTTTTATATTGACATAACTGTTCGCGTGCGTGGCCGTTCGCGCCTCGAAGCAATAACATGAGAAGGGTACGCAACTTTGCAATATGCCCTCGCTGTGTATGTATATGTTTTTATGTACGTTGTAAATTATAATAGAAATCCAAATTGGTGATACGTAGTTCTATTGCCCGTGTTTTATTAACCCAACTGATGTGTTAACTAACATATTTTGTACTTTGCAACTATAACCTAGAACTAACTAACTATAACACAGGCGGTTCACCTGATTTTAAGTGATTATCGCCGCCCATTGACCTACAATACATGTGGAGTTGTAGTTGCGTTACAAAACTTTTTATAAGAAGGCCTTGCTGCCTCACTCTCCAAGGAACTAAAAAAAAATATGCCCCAATTCACGATGTCCTGTGAGACCTTCCTCGGACGAGCCTGCACATTCTTGCAACAGCAGAAGCTGGAACGTAGATCTGGGCAAGTTTCCCAGTAAAACTTACAGCTATCACAGCAAAGTATGTTTTATATTTTAGGATTCCGTACCTAAAGGGTAAAACGGGACCCTATTACTAAGATTCCGCGGTCTATCTGTCTGTCCGTCTGTCATCGGACCTTCACAGATGATGAATTTTTGTTGCCACTATGACAACAAATACTAAAAATCACATTATAATTTTTTTTCCTTGGTAAATTTGCAATCGGTCGTGAGACCATAAGCGAATTTTTTGCGTGATGATTTATGGCTTTTCTGGTGGGGTAGCTAACGCCGCCCCTACCAATTAAATAAGGTGATCACGTTTAAGTCTCTTGATCACCACAGTCGGGTCCAGCAAATCGGTTACGAGTGGATTTTGGTGTAAGGATAGCCGCTCTATATATTATTTTCTGTTTCGCCCGATCTCGGATATCACAGTCGGCATGTTTAGATATTGATGAATTTCATCATTTGTTGTAAACCAAAATTTTGTAGTCGCAATTTTGTCGTCGTTGTAGACAGAGTATGTTACTTTTACTTGTAACATCCCATATCTGCATTTCGTATGTCCAAACTGATTTTAACACTGAATTATAGATAAGAAGCTTGTTGTCTATCGATAGTACAGTTTCTTCCCATGAGCAAGTACAAATTGCGATACTGGTGGTTGACTTGATTTCTCTTTTGTTAAATGTGGTGTTTCCATGTGAGGCGCCTATCAAGATGCAAGACAAGTTATTTCACACAGTCCGAGTGCGGTAAGATATCGTTACCGAGTCTTACAAGGGGACAGTTTTCTCTCCTCAGGGTGAATGTAATGTGGGTAGACTTTGCTGCACTAGCGCGTATACGCCACTTGCACAGCCATTTGTGAGTTGCGTTTAGGTGCTCCTGAAGTCTGTGGCTGGCAGTAGCAGGATCTTTGTCGACAGACAAGTAGGCTATGTCATCGGCATATGTGACCACGGTGATATTACTATCAACCGGTAAGTCAGATGTAAATATGTTATTAAAAGAATCGGCCTAGGACCGGTACCGTATGTACCGGTCCTAGGCCGATTCTTGGGGTGCACCAGCCTTTAGGTGATGAAGGCTGGATCGCGTTTCACCTTGTTTGATTTGGAAGGATCAATCAGAGAGTTCACAAGTGTGAACATGGAATATGGGAGACTCTTTTTGAATTTCACCAGCACACTCTGTGCCACACGCGATCAAAAGCCTGTCGCACGTCGAGGAAGGCAGCTGAGCAGTATTTTTACGTTCAAAGTTCTGCCTAATTGGGTGATATGCCCGATGAACTTGTTCAATCGTTGAATGAGACTTGCGGAAGCCAAACTGATGGGACGGAATAATAGACCAGTGATCCGATGCTGTTTTTAGCCTGTTAAAAAATATTCTTTCCCGTAGTTTGGATTTTACGGGTGTTAAGCTTATTGGTCGATATGATAGTAAAAGAAATATTTTTTTTTTCTATTATCCAATCAGTGAAAGTAACTGATACCGCCATACCTGTTTACACTTGAAAACCCAGTAGTTCGTCCAGGTAAATAATAGACAACCCAACGGCTGCACATTCTATATGTTTTATATTGCAATCCAGGATAATATTTTCTTATTAATATCTTGATGTTGCAACATTTCATGAAAAATTATTAAAAATATTCTGTCCAGGATTTTTTTAGGTAACCCAGTTTTAATATATTTTCTAATATACTAAATTTATTATAAAATAATTTTTATTCTATTATCAGCTCGGTGAAGGTCGATTTAGATTCGGATCTTAGACCATGATGATTGTCTGGTTTTCCTGGTTTATGAATCGTCACTACTTGGGAAATTTTCCAGAGGGTTGGGAAGTGGGAGGTTCTAAAGATTGCATTGAATAGGTATGTAAGAAATACGATACTCTTTCTGGTCAGATTCTTTAGTGTGGTTGGAGTAATCAAATAATATCCCGGTGCTTTTCCGGACTCGCCTACAAAAAGTAAATAGGTCGTTCATGTGGCAAGGTGTGCCCATGCATAATAAGATCCCACAGTCGATATTAAGTCTGCCGCTTGATCAATTTAAACGTAAAATCAAAAGTCAACTTGTGGTTAAAGCATATTACAGTATTCCAGAATATCTCGACGACGCCAATGTGTGGAGTTAATACTGTTGATACTCATGTAGGGTAGAATAAGACTATTATATCGGTATTTTATATTGTAAACTGATATCTTTGAAAAAGAGCAACTGTTGAGTTTCTTGCCGCTCTCTTCTCAACAGAAACTGCTTCCCGAACAGGTGGTACCTTACGAACCTCTATGTATAATTTTTTATGTAAAATTTGATGATTCATAAGAACGCGCAAGCGTCTATTTGAATAAAGATTTTTGATTGATTGTAAAGTGTTTTTATCTCCATAGAAATTTCTCTCGGTTGGAGTTAGAGGAAGACTCATCTGCAGATCCTGGTCGAGGATTGCATCAACGTCCGACTCATCCGCGGAACTCTCATTTGGTGTGAAGACTGTTGCTAGATGAGCTGCGAAGACCTAGGCTTTTTCTGAATCAGTCCTGGCCCAAGAGTTCTGTGATCTAATCGGAGGATGAGATTATTTTGGGATTGCTTAGGGTTTTTGTTGCTTTCCAAAGTGAATGCACGCCAATTCCAGATGGGGACAACGACTCTAGGTTTTTCTTTACCATATAAAATATTTAAGTGTGATTTTTTTGCCGTTTTCATAGATAATGGTACGGAACCCTTCGTGCGCGAGTCCGACTCGCACTTGGTCGGTTTTTAAGAAACATCTTTAAGAAACGTTATGAAAAATGTCTCAAGACGTTTCTTAAAAATAACCTATATAAACTACCTACTTTTTTAAAAATATAAAACGATTTACAGCGTTCGAGGCGTTGGGAATTTGTAACTACAAAAATCCGTAAATAAAATAATTAGCCAATTCTTCTATATCATCTGTCACATAATTTACAGCGGAACAAATTTTAATTGCCACGCAGTATGGGCATGTATCATCATATTATTGATGTTTTAATGATTGGACGGATCCGGCAATGTTTTTAATATAATAAGAAAATTGCATTACGTTGGTCAGATATGGTATAATAATGATTAATAATACGAAAGTCGCTCGAGCTATAAAGTTAAACATGGTCGATAATAATTTGAAAAAAAATAGCGGCCCAATTAATATTTACTTATCCCGTTATGGCCACATTTAAACTGTGGAAAAATTCTGTAATCACAGGTTGCGAAGTCGTTATAATGATATTAAAAACATGATTAATATTAAACATTTCAAATGCATTTAATCGATACAAGGAATAACTTTAATACATTTTTATTATTTAAAATTGAACACATCTATTCTATTATTAGTACACGATAAAGTCAAAGAGAATGTAATCACTACGTTTAAATGGATAAAGTCATTACTGTATCGTGTACTAATTAACCAAATTTTTAATTAGTTGAATTTTCACTATGCTTCCAAAATTGAACCTTAAGAAATGTTCATAATGTTTAATTTTGGAAAGCTCCACTATACGGAATTGTTAGCATAATCCCCGTTGCTATGGAAAAATTATTTGAAATTTATTTTTAAAATGGATCATTAAATACAAACTTAACTTACGAACGTATTAATTTTTATGTAAAATTTTTGACATTTCATAAGAACGCGCAAGCGTCTATGTGAATAAATATATTTTTGATTTTGAAACGTAGACCATCCGACAGCAGTGTAAAGCATTTATGCCGATCATATTGGACGACGTTAACATTTAAATCGTTAATGTTTCATCTTGGTCCTCGACGATTATGGAAGTAGAAAACATTTGATAAAATCGCAATATTTTTTTCGGCACGGATGCTAAGCTTGAGCACAAAAATATTAAATGCAGTTCCCACTTAAAAAGGTACTTATGTCTTATACTTAGAAACGTTCGAGAGTTCTGTTGTTGCATGAATTGCAGGCTTGTCGGCGGAAGTTCTCTGGTCTCACAAAAGACAGGCGTACTTAGAAGTTTCGTCTGCTGAAGTAAGGTAACCATTACCCACTCATTTATTCGTTGGTAACGCATCTGCAACCCCCATTCTTGTACATGGCGGCGGTAATCACTTAACATGACGTGAAGCGCCTACTTCTCGTATAAAAAAGGAAGAAATAAAACGTTTATCTCGAGCCATATAATTTCATAATAAATTCCTCAAACAGTAGATGAAAACGAAAAATAAGTCCGAAGTTGTCTAGACCATTTGTCAAAATCTACCAAAAATATCTTTAGCACTTATCGTTCATCCCTCTTTCCAAAAAAATAAAACCAGACATTGTCATCATGTACAAAAATATATTGCTTTAATGTTGTTAAATTAGAAAGAAATATTGTTACTAACAATTAACAATTACTTAGAATAGTGTAGTGAATGCAGAGTTTTACCATTGTTTCCGATAACAGAATAAGCAAAAATCTAAATAAATATTATTTATATATAAATTTGTAATATGGACTTTCTATAACAACAGTATAAATTCATGAAAAATTTCATAGCTTGTTGAGGAGTATGACCCGCTGCAAAAGTTCAGTCAACATTCTTACTTAAAATTTTGAGCAAAATACGAAAGTCACTTAAGCCATAAAGTAAAATATGGCAGATAATAAATTTGAAAAATTTAATGGCCCAGTTAATATTTGCTTATCCCGTTATTTTCGCAATTAAATCGTGGATCACTGCTGTAAATCGCAGATTGAGGCATCGTTATAAAAAATATTTAAAACATGGTTATTTTATTAAACTCCCTAAACATTTGAAACGTATTTAATCGATACAAATAATTACTAGAATACATTTTTTTTCGTTTAAAATTGAACACATCCATTCTGTTTTACACAAACAACACAATACTTCAAAATGTATTATAAATTTCGAGATTCTACACAATTAGTGTTTACGATGACATTTATTTTGAACTTCTTAAAATCTAAAACAGATGAAACAATATGGACATAGACACCTACAATAACAGTCTGTTTTTTTCCTAACTTAAAGCTACGTTTATTGTAAATTATAAAGATCCCGTAATACAAATGAAGAAAATGTAAAAACGTATGCCTTGGTAAATTTAATAAGGCCATTGACAAATAACATAACAATCGTGTAGCGCATTTGAAGGCCATTACAGACCCTCTTAGTCGGAATCAAAACAAATTTTATTGACTCGTTTACCATTAACAATCTCTGCTAATTGTTGAATTGCAAGAGTGCCCTTATTAAATTTACAAGGACTTCGTACCGCAATTATGTTCATATAAATTAAGATATTTTATTAATACTGATTACAGTTACAAATTATATGGTAATTAATTGATGGCGATATATTTACATCGTGGCATGGAATATAATTTAGTTAAGAAAAATGTATTTAAACCCGCATTGTAGAAATTATATATTTTACAACCAACACATAATTATAATAAATTAACGCTAACCTGTCTTAAAATAATCTAACTCTCAATTTACTTACATGTTTCGTTCCGAGGAAAATATATCCCACTGTTAAGTGCTACAAATTGCAATATTGCAATTCCGAATATTTTAGTGTATATATAAATATGATGATAAGCACCTGTGTTATTCATATTTTTAATAAGGCACGTTTAATCAATGGTTTACTCAATAACTTAAATCAAAGGTTTTGTTTTTCTAAAGTCATTAGGCGGACAAATAATAGTTTCTGTATCTACACCAAATAAATTCCTGAAATATTTGTTGGATAGCAGTTGTGATGAGGATAAAAATAGTTTATCATTAATTTTTGTAGATAATTTGTCTCTTTCATGTTAACGCTACAAGTAAACCATTGTTCTTTCGGGAAGACTTTCTTGAGATACTAGGACAAATTACTAATTACACAATACGGTCTACAAATGTTACAATTACCATTAATATAAATTAATTATCAGTAGTAACGTATTAAATACAGTGCGCCGATGTGTTGTGGAATGTAAACGAGTTAGCAGTCTTCGAGAGGCAAGGCAAGCGAATTGTACAGAAGTGTTCAACGGATCAACAACACCGAGCGATATATGTCAACTTTTATTAAAAAAAAAGCGCGGGAAAATATGACATTTACGTCAGTTTTATTACACAAATTACGTTTTTTTTCTTTTTTCAATGTAATGTTAAAAAAACAAGAAAATGGAATACGAAAGTATTTTTATAAATTCCTAGATTCCTCAAGGTCAACGGCCTTTTTATAATAATATAGTATTGAAAAAACATTAAATCGACGATCAACCGTTGTTTCAAAAGAAAAAGTTTCGTTGTTCTTCTGCTAACCGATTAAGATTGCGTTTAAGACTTACGTGCGTGTAGGGACGGCACGGTATGGAACAATCGTGTGATGACCGTTTGTACTTAAAAGCGCGGTTCGACGGGTAAACCGATTCGCCCGAGGCTACCGGCGCGCCGCGTGTTGCCATTATTTGAAAGTCAAATCGTGCAGAAACAAAGCCACTTAATCCGTAACAAAGTCGGGGCCTAAATCATCATGAAATTGCGCATGGGAACAATAAGGCCGGACGCAACGCGGATGGGGGCTTGCGCGTCGCTAGGGGCGCGATTCGCTCGCGCGTTAATATCGGTGGCCGTTGTCAGCGGTTGGCGTCGCTAGTGGGACTGCGGGCGATTTTGGGCCTTGGGTTCGCCGCGCGCCGGGTTCAAGCGCCTCGGGCCTTAATTACGGGCATTCGGGATCGAATTCGAACCCGGCACGCATGGTTATTGCGTGAATCACTATTCGGTGTACGGTGGAAACGCTGTCGGATAATAAGTTGCAGGTGCGTTGATCCGAAAAGCGCTGAGTTCAGCTGAACTCGTTACCTTCGTATAGGCTCTCGCACACTTCCAACAGTCTCAGCACGGGACTGATGTTGTAGGGGAATAGGGATTTCGATACCAGCCTGCTTATTTGCAACCGCAGCCTTATCAGCACGCGCATGGTGTCGTCTAGCCCCCTGGTGCCGCCAGAGTCCGCCTGCTGGCACGTCTCCAGGAACTTCGGCCAGTTCCTGCGGACATACTTCAGGAACCTCAGCAGGTACAGCAGGAAACACGTCTCGTTACTAACCAGATAGTCCAGAAGGACATCGCTGTCGTGCGAAACCACCTTCAGGAACTCGATGAACGATGATATAGGGTTGAGCATCGGTATTAGGTCGGGATACATGGAGTTCCTGTACACGATGCCGACTGTAATATCCAACGTGCACACCATGGACTCTATAAGGTAGTCGTCTTGCTCGCTGAACAGATGTATGAGCATTTTGGTGAAAGCCGTCTCCGGGTGGAACTCGAGACTGTTGCGCACGAACACGTCGAGTTTCTTCAGGACGTCCCTGATCGATCTCTCGACGATCTGCATGTCCTGTATCGCGTTGTAGTCGGACGAGTCTATAGAGCTGTCGGATGAGTCGCATCGCATCTCCTTCACCGTCACGGCAACCGATTTCAAAACCAAAAGGGACATCCTCTGCAGCGTCGTTTTGTCCACATCGTTCCTCAGATGCGAAGAGTCGTGGTCGTCTTCGCCGTAGCTCTGGTCAACCAACTGTATGGCTGAAGATATAGGAGTGGCCGAGGGCCCTAACGAGTAGTCCCTCGCGATAGTGCACTCGTGACCTAAAAAACCGAAACCACTACGGCTGCTTTGTATCCTGACGTCTGAAAGGAGCCTAAAGTCCTTAACATACCTCACTATGGAGTGGGCCAAGCAACATATCTCTTCCGGTAGGATATCTTGCAAGGCGAGGGTGGATCCATAACACAGGACCTCATTGAATAAACTTAACAAATGTGAGTATATTAGATTTGGTAGCATTGTATTCCTTAACAGGTCAACAAAACCCTGCAGGTCAGCATAGAACGGTTTCGTATCAATTATGGAAAGATTAGCCTTAACACTTATTATATTCTCCCATAGGGAGAAGAAAGTTAGTATACAGTTTTCAGCATTAGCTAAATTCAGGTACCTTAGTAGCAAAAGTTTCATATTTTTCACTAAAACAGGCCAGTGGTGTTCCAGTGTTTTAATTGTTAGACATTTTATATGCGATGTATCGAATGATTCTGAATCCGTTAGTATAACGGTTATGCATCCATTCTCGCGCACCCTTTCTATCCTAGCGGGTAGAGGTTCGGGCGAGGCAGAACTTTCATGGTCACCTAGCTGCTGGTCATTGGGGAACTTTAATATAGGTTCGTGCAGTTTAAAGGAACCCGATTTGCCAGATTTTTCCTCTGACGATGTTGATGGTACTCCGTGAGTTTGTAAGTGGGAAAAGGCACTGTGCAAGTTATCACTGTGCGAACCAGAGGGAATTTGTGAACTGCTACCGCTGCCATAGTTGGTTGTACTACGAAAGGGATTGTCCTCTTGCACATGACTGTTCCCTGCAGTATTTATATAATTACTGTCCTCTAAAGGATGCTGATCAACATCTTTCCATTCCACTATCCTCTTTATGATATCTAAACTGAAGTTTATCTTTTGTACTGTTATTCTGTTAATCCTATCAAACAAATATATATTTTCCGCTATCTGTTGAAGCCAGTTCTCGTCTACAGTATCTTTAGAAACTATTAAAAAGCTAGCCAAAACTCTACTTGCGACAAATGTAATGAACTTACTTTTATGATCTGCCAATTCCACAACTTCTGTGATCCAATCATGACGATTTCTTACAAATATATCACATGCCTGCATTATCCTTGAACATATAGTACCTGTGTTATTTTGCTTTAAATATATATCAAACATAAGTTGCATTGTTGAGAGATAAGTTAAAGAACAAGTTAGGGGCCATGAAACAATATTAAGTTGTCTATCAAACAATTGTGAAACAACATTTTCGTCATATCCACATAAACACTGTCCAACAAGAGCATTCTGGAGGGTTCTTAATTCAGCCAGCAATTTGTCATCTTCAGAAGTCCAGTGTGGGGTCGAATTTGAACCAGATGGTATAATATCTATGCTAGAATCGCCAGGCAACCTCAAAATAGTAGAGCAATCTACTGCGTCTTCGCTGACTGTCCCACTATCGGGGGACCCACCATTCCTGGGTGGAAACTCTTCCGATATTTCTGCAGGAGTTTCTGAGTCAAATATATCTGTGAGGATATCTTCCGCTGACCTGTCGCTGCCATCGTCTATATCAGGTGCATCAATTCGCTGCTTTTTCTTAACAGGTTGATCTGAGGCCATTCCTTCATCTGACTTTGTTGTTAAATGCGCTCGTAGAACCATTAACCCGCGTTCTCTTGCTTCAACGAAATAACCTTATTATTTATTAAGTTGCCGCATGCATATCAACAGTCTCACTATCGTTATTCTGAAACAAAAAGGCGAATGAGTGCATGACCTTTTCTCAGCTACTCAGTTACGCGCACGACAAAGCCAACGTTTATTATAATAGAATGGATGTTAAACAAGTTTAGAAAACGTGAAAAACATAACGTTGAGGATACATGATAAAATTTTTCATAGGTAAATTATATAATCTACGTTTACGTTACATGTTACAACTAACTTTCCAAAATATTTTGATGGCACACATACCATTGACAGACAACCTAGGTTGTATGAACACTTTTTTGCATTAATGGTATCCATAAATCACTTTTAACTATTCACTGCAATCCGTTCGTCAAAATTATAACACAGTTTTCAGTGATACTTCGTAAGAAAATACATAAATATTCAATCACAGAGTTATGGACAGAACATCTACTGAGTAGACTCCATTACGTACAATGACGCTCTGTCCGTTGAGATACTTTTTATTAAGGAATTTTGTAAGTATTTTATATAAGAACACGATTAAATGACTTATAAAATGTTTAAAAACTAATTAAATTAATATTAATTTCAAAAATAACACCATCGAATAACATATACAGGGTTTTGAATAAAATAAGATTATAATTTATACGGTATTTCACTACATATCCGGTACAGACATTGCCAGTCTGACGACTTCTGAATTTAGCAATTGTGATGGTAGTAGCCACTATGATTTTTCCAAGCTTTGTAATGAACAGTAGCTGATTTCATCTTCTTGAAGTCGTTTTACAAAAAAGTTAAGATAAAGATAAAACATTAAGTTACAATTAATCTTCTTTCCAATATTCATATGTTTTAGGAGCTAGATTTTTAATATTTTTTAAATAAACTTTTACATATGCTACTCCATATTATAGTCTAATCCATAAAAAAGAGGATAAGGATATTTATTTATTCTAAAATATTGTAATAAATGTTACAATTTCATAATAAATAAACTTTATTAAAAAATAATTTCAAAAAATATTTATAAATTTCCACTGGTAACACTCTTAGTACCCCCCAGTCCCTCAAGAAAAATGTCTGCTTCGCAAGACTCGGAAATAAAGTTAAATATAATTAAATGATTGCCGTAGTAATGTAACATTAATAATTATACAATCATCAGGTGATTATCTTCAACGTTAATTCAATGTGTGTGAATTAGAAGACTGTGATGACTCATACAAGTGTTTTTGCATAACAATCAATAGAATAAATTTAGGTTAAGATCTTTGGTATTGTATTCGGATCGGGACAAAAAAATAGTTAATATAAAAGCACAGTTGCCGTTTTATATATCAACGTTGTCGTAGAAGTTATAATTAGATAAATAGTGTCTCAAAGCGTATACGTTCCGATATGTCATCGGCTTCCTACTCAAAGTTCTTTTTTTATTAATTGTAATGCTTAGCTAAATAAAGTTTAAATGAAAGGATTAAGAAGCACAGTGGCATCAAATGACTCCTACAACCTTTTAATAGATGGAGAGCAATTGCCAGTTGCCACTACACACGTTAGACGATTGTGAAAATCTATTTCCTGTACGGTATACGATAATCAATAGGCGTTATGAGATTCAATTCACTGCACTGCTATTGAAAACGGGCAATTCCAGTGCAAAAGAATCCAGGGTCAATTATTTTTAACTATATTTCGATTTATTCGGATGTTCTAAATCCGAAACTCCGTACGCCCACACATTCTATTTTATGTTGTCGATACTAGAGAACTTCGATATGGTTTCCCTTTTAGGAAGCATCCTTTGAAGATTATTCCTTTTTCAGATCGAAGGCCTTTTCGAAAATGGAACACACAATTGGTATAGTTGAAAATGAAGCTCACTCCCTGTTGTTGACTTTTTGATGTGAATCTCAAAGACCACAAGTATCAGTGTGATGAAGTTAAGTGTATTGCTAATTTAAAACATAGTGAGTGAAGGGCAGCCTGAAGAATATTCAGGATGTCTGATGAGGAAGATTCTTCACCTGATAGGGCGCTGGTCCCAACCAACAATGTGCCAGGTATGTTTACTTCTAACAATTTCAAAGAGTTCATCATCAATATTTCTATTTTTTGAATTAAATTTGGTATTCATAAACAATATGGTAGCAAAGTGTATTGTAAAACATAAAATTATTACATTGATTTAATAAAATACAGCGTGTCGTTACCATCGCGACAGCAAATGAACACACGTCTAACGCTATTTGCCAATAATCATAAAAAAATATTAACGTTAAACAAAATCCATAATTAAAAAAAAATCTTTTTCAAACAAACTAATTAAGTAAAAAAGAAACAAAATTTGTAACATCCTATACAACTCGCGCAACAGCGTCGTATTACAAGGCTCTCCTTCTAACAGTATGTTTTGTCTCTTTTAAATTCATTCAACCCATTCATATGCTTTGTGACCTTTACAAATGAACTTTACGTTACGCTTTTATAGGTAAGGGTGTTCTAAAATTCTTTGTTTTGGAAAATTTTATAACTCTGTAAATATTGATGTTTAAACAATTGAAATGTTTAATACAACTTTAAAAAGTTATCCCCTATATGTGTGTTCATTTATTGTCATGATGGTAACGACACGCTGTATATGAAAACTATGTTAAAGGGAGGCAACCTTAACTTCCTTATTCCTAAATTATATTATGATTTTATCCGCATTTTCCTTGTGAATAGCTGGAACTTGTTATGTTTAAGGTGGTTATAAATGATACTTATTGCATCATATAATTTTTTATGGGAAACCTTTCTGTTTTCCCTAAATGGTAAATTATTTAGTCAAATTCTATTAATATAATTGTCGTAAACAATAAGTTCCATAAGTGCATAATAAATTTAAAAACTCAACTTCACAAACCGGAAATGTATTTTTATGTGTTTCAACTGTTTTATCTTGATCTATTCTAGTTACATGGACTGTTATGTATAGTTTTTGTATTAATTCAAACTTAAAAGTTGATTCAATGAATGATGAAATCATTCCATGCTGATATCCTAATATACAACAATTTTATTTTTATTTGAATCAACTATGGTTTTCATATTACCAGATTTGTTGGCATATATATTACATAATATATATGCTTTTAATTTGATAAAATTTAGAGATACAAAAATAATGTACAAGCCTCCTAATATATTTAATTGATAATTGGTTAAACAAAGTGGTTTTGTCAATCAGATTTGACTTAACAATAATTAACTTCTTCATCAATCTTTTGCTTGTGGTGTTATCCATGATTTGTTACTGAGGCAAAATTACTTAAATGGCAAACATTTATTTGGCTCTTAAGTAATTTTTTTTAGTAGTTAAGTAAGCCTTTCCAGTGACAATTACTATATCAATTGATTTTTAAGTACATATTTACTACTGAGCTAGATTTATTTAGTAATAAGCCCAACATCTATTATAATGATAAAAAGAAAACTATGCTTGTAAATTGGGTGCATGAGTAAATAATTTGTCACATGTTCTCTATTATATAATGTTACATTGTATTGTCTTTTTGAAGAATAATTGTGTGTGAAGTTTCAAAAACATTATTTCAAAAAGCAATCATTGCAAGTCCTAATGGGTTTTTTGGCCGTTTTTGGAAGACCAGAATGTGGGCTAACAATATACAGCCTCAGTTAAGAACCTGTAGGTATGGTCAGAGATGGTCCTTGATTGATCTTTCCACCAAGTTTATATTAATGGCAATAGTTACAGTTTATCAGGGTTTTTGCACCTTACTTTAAAACTAATTGGTTCACTCAATTGGGGTTCATACTAGGAGCCTTAAGGTCACAAGTGTAACTTCCCATCCACTAAGATCCTTTGATTTTTCCAATGAAACAGGAATGTTAACAGCATAGTTTTTTTATGTGAAAAGTTGCTAAGCGAGCAGGCAGTTCACCTGATGTTTAGTGAATACCGCCACCCATGCACATCTGCTACACCCGTGGGTTACAGATGTCTTGACCCTTTGAACATCCTCGCTCACCAGACGAACGCGAAAGTATTTGTTATACTTCAACTTTACGCCAGTGTTCTGTGAGGTTGTGGTACTTACCCGGACGAGCCCGCCCACCCGTGCAACAGCCGAGGCTCCTGCGTGGCCCTACCACTGTAATGATATGATGATAAAGATACTTTTCTTTGGTAGCCAACATCACCTGTTTCTGTTACATCATGTTGTTTCTGTTACATCAGACCGTCATGTTTAGGTTAGTACTATTGCCTTACAAAAGAGCAGAGGAAGGCAGGGTAAAATATATTTCTTTCATCCAGTAGTAACTTACCATCACTACATAGTATAAAACAAAGTCGTCCCGCTGTCTGTCAATCCCTATGTATGCTTAGATCTTTAAAACTAAGTAACAGATCTTGATGCGTTTTACTAGAGAGAGTGATTCGAGAGGAAGGTTTATAAATGTATAATACATTGCACCCGTGCGAAGCCGGGGCGGGTCGCTAGTTACGTACGATCTGTTCACTCATACGCTTCTGTGTTGTGATATTTGTTTAAAAAAATTTAAGTACATGACCAGCTGATTACTAGGACTTAATCGAACGCAACGCTACTCAATCTTCGACATTTGCGCGCGTGGCGACAGTTTCTTCTTCACGCAAGATCGATTATTTAGAAAGGGGCGTACCATCAGCGTGATCGTGTTTCGAGGCGAAATAATATCTAATTACACAGTGCTCAACGGCAGGTCAGCGCGCGGGAAACAGGCGGAACGGAACGCTAATTAAAACGGAAGCACCAGCGAAACTGGCGCGCTCTAAGTTTTTACTTGGAACTAATTGATGTAAACCCTAAGTTAAGAATGGAGCATTCGCTACCCGTTAAATAAAAATAAAAATTCGGACGCATTTGTACACAACGTTCTCTAGTCCCAAATTAAGCAACGCTTGTACTATGGGTACTAGAAAAAACTGAGAAACACACTTAAACGTAATTTTCTTTTGAAAATAAATACACATTATTCATATATAAAACAGACACTGGAAAAACACTATGTTCATCACACAATATTTATCCAGTAGTGGCGATCGAACCTACACCCCCTGGGGTGAAAGGCAGGTCCACTACTCCCCATGCCAACCGGGTCGCCAATTGAACTAGTGTACGGGCACTATCGGCGTTCGCTTTCGTTTCAAATGCCCACTCCAACATCTATGTATCGTGGGATGGACTGGAGTATGTAATGTCTGTCATATTCTCATGTTCGGTTACATCAAAACCCTTTCGAAACGTTTTAAACGACTTTTCGGTTATTTCCTTACTCGTGCATATGATTGTACAATATTTTCGCAGGGCGTTTCCGTGCTGTGAATGCAAAAAGAAAAAGCCCCCCTTTCAATTGCGAGCCCTTCTCTTCTCGTTCTGCCATAACGAACATATATATGAGCATAGGTATATCAACTTATCTAATGGCTGTACTCAGACAAGTCAATGGCATTTAACCGTCATCATTCATTTGCTTAGTTAGTTCACTACATGTTAAGTGATGGGTTCAAAACTTATTCTTCTTAAACGAGTAGGTCTTGTTACTACACGATATGCAAAAGTCTAGTACTTCTGCTACACCTCTGGCTTCTGTGCTCTCATCTTATCTCTTCTTCAGATCAGAATGATCATTAAGAAGATCATTCTGATCAATTCAGAGAGTTAAACCATCCTTTTGGCAACTTAAATAACATTTGAAAAGCCATTTGACAGCTGATTAGTTGAATTTACGATGATCAGAAACCGGTCGAGAGCGAGCTATCAAAGGCATCTTAATACGGCTCTAATTTCTAAAAGAAACAAGTTAAATTTTTATGAAGCGCTAATTGTCTGAGAGTGACCGTAAGTAATGTAAGAGAGCTCATTAAAATTATTGTTCACTCTCATACCAAAGAAAAATTTATGGCGCGAGTCACTAGTATTGTTATTTTACGTTTTTCAAAAGCTAGCAAGCGAGCATATTGTTCACCTGATGCTAAGTGATTACCGCCGCCCGTACAACACCCGAGGGCTTGCAGGTGCTTTCATGATCATCATCATTTCAGCTTGATGATGATGCAGTCGCTTTGCGAGCCTCAGAAAATCTGTCCCGGTTTACCCCACTCACCAGATGAAACGCGAAAGTATAATACTTCCACTTACGTCGAGGCCGTGGTGCTTCTAGGACGAGCCTGCCCATTGAAAAGCTGCTGTTTGGCCCTACCACAGTAAACGATTCGAGTGTTGCCAATTACGCTGGCGTCTACGTCTCACCTTATCCAATCGCCTAAAACCAGTAGCTTCTGCACAATTTGATATAGAAAATTTCAGTAGCAAGTAACCTAATATCTATGGTCAGGATTCTAAGAGCTGAACTTAATTACACAAGTCCAGTTCAGGTGTACTCATTGTTTTAGGTTTCGTTTTTAACCGACTTCAAAAAGGAGGAGGTTCTCAATTCGACTGTATGTTTTTATTTTAATGTTTTCTACCTCAGAACTTTCGACTGATCGGATCGATTTTGATGATTATTTTTTTATTTGAAAGCCGGTGCTTCCCGTGTGGTCCCATATTAATTTCATTGATATTGGACCTTGGGCTCCGGAGATATTTAGGGAAATCCTGAAAATCAATTAATGAATATAGAGATTTGAAGTCGGTTTTGTTTTTCGTTAATAAAAAAATTGACTTGTTAAGAGAAGGAATAAGAAAAGTATGAAAGAAAAGGAGAATAAGAAAAGTAGTCGATTGATATGTGGACGAAGTAAAAGAGTTGTTCATGAATCGTGAAAATCGGAGGTTAGTAAACTCAACGTATTGTACGAGTGTATTTTAAGCAAGAACATTGCAAGATATTTTAACTTTTAATACATGTGATTGTATTAAGTCTTTGTTTTAAAAGCCCACACACTGACGTTAAACTCTCCAGTATATGTTCGTTGCTTTAATGTTCCCTTAATGGTCGAAGAAAAGCCTATATGTTGACTGTACATTAATGGATCAGTCTTACTACTCTGAAAGATGAAAAAACTTCCATC